GGAAAAAGGATAAAGAGCTCAGATAAGAATCCTCTCAGGAAAAGAAATTATTAGACAGAACACTCTAAATTACTTAACAACTCCTCTCTACCTTGGAGCTGGACTTCAGAGAACCAGAAGTGCAGAGTAACTGCTTTCCTTTGAACTTGGCCAGCTGAGTGACTGATTTTCTTTAATGGACCCTACATTGCAAAGCCTAAACCCCAACTGGTTACTCTAAGTCCACAGGTGTCACCTGTGATAGGCATTATAAGGACAATCAAGGTCCTGATCCCTGCTTAGCTGCATAAAACCAAGACAAAACAAACACCCTGGCAACCCCTTGGAATCCCTGCCAACTGGGAGCTATTTTTCTTCCTATTTCCAATAAACACTTCGTTAACCTCATTTCTATCTGACTATGTTCTCCGATTTAGTGAGACAAAGGGCTTGGTTCTTAGGGGGTAGCTGTTTCCCTGGTGCCTCAGTCTCCCCAATGCTGGGATTAGGCCTGCACTGCCACACCTGGCTTCAACAGTCTTCCTGTCCTTCTGTCCCTCTGCCATGGATGAGAGCTTTGCTCCACCACACACTCCCTGCCACGATGTGCCATGTCACCACAAGCCCAAAAGCAACAGGGCCAAGCTACCCATGGACTGAAACGTCCAGAGCCATGAGCCAAAGTCAGACTTTCCTCTTTGTATGTTGGTTTATCTCAGGCATCTGTTAAGATAATGGAAATGTCAGTCATAACACAAAAGCTGACACTTAGTGGCAAAAGAGGCTTTTTCAGCTCACACGCCCTTTCAAATGCTGTATTTAAATCTTTATTTTTACAAACGATGTAGGGGGAGGGGACCAAGATATAAAGGGAGGTGGCGGGAGGGGAGTGGAAGGGGAAGGAAAAAGATGTGCTATGTAAGATGCCAACTTGCCATGATGAATGTAATCATTATGGACTGCCAACATGTACGCAGAAAAATTACTAAAAATACAACTACAAGTCACCTAAAAACCTTTGTTTTAGCCTCATCAATGTCCATTTTATTCATCTTTTTGTTTTTTGGTATCAAACAGCAAACTCATGACCTCATGCTAAGCAAACGCTTGAATGGCTGAGCTAAATCCCCAACCCTCATCCCAGTTCTTAATAAATATCAAACATTTCCACTCTTTTGTTTTCCTCTTTCTCTCCTGTCAACATTTGCTTTAGCCCCTTATGAAAGACTTTAGATTTCCACCCAGCCGAGACCAGGTCTTTGATTTTCCCAACTTTCCCACATTCTCTTCTTAATTAACCATTTTTAATCAGCATCTATAAGACCCCCAAAGGGAAGCGAGACAGAAAACACAGTGAAGCTTCCCAGACTGTCTTTGGTTTGGGAGCAGTGTGGCTGCAAGGGGCCTCTGCGTTAATGAGTGGTGCTCTTTACACAGTGCTTGTGTGACCCCAGCAGGTGGTCTCCCTCCCAGTCACAGTAAAGCCAGTTCCACTTGGCTTGCAGAGGGGCAGCTGTCCTTTTCACCTTTGTTGTTCTGCTCAGCTTTAGGGAAGAAAAGGGAAACAGGAAAAGCACAGCCCCACAGGACTTTCACTTTGCATTCTTCAGCTGCTGATAACTTATTAATATACCACTGTATGTATGTTTAGACATGGACATATATTTAATAAATGCAGGGCTTATATCTATAGCTTTAAAATGCTGGGAAGCTCAGACAGCCAGCCTAGGCTCCACAGTGAGACCTGGTCTCGACCAAAGTAAGTAAATAAATAATACATAAAATATAACTTATCAGTATGTCAAATATATAATGCATTATATATAATGCAGATTTTATAACCTGTACGATTATATCCACAGGCAGAAAATTATACCCATTATCCTGTACATATTTGTATTTCTCTGTAAATTCTGTACCCAGTATAATTAATTTTATTTATATTATCTTTAAAATGATCAGCAAAATTTTTTTCTCTAAACAAGAAAACTAGAGAAAATGAAGAGTTGTCCAGCCATTCTTCCCTACAAGCACTTATTTCTTATTTTAGTAACTGTGAGGTGAAAATAAAGACTATCCAAAGGCATTTTCAGTTTAGCTGAAACAAGGTAACAAGGTAAAACATCTATTTAGTGACCTGTGCTTTGTAACTGATTCTTGTCCAGAAAGTTGAGAAATACAGGATTTTGATAAATATCTGCACACTATGAGAATGAATGACAGATGGTCAGGCAGTAACTCCACCCCCTGAAAATGTTATCATACTGTGTGGGAATGAAATAGGGATCCTGCCTGTGTTTGACCAACTATGTAACTTTTAGAAAAACAAAGCAGTGGGTGGAGATTTAACTCAGTGGCTCAAGCACTTACCTGGTAAGCATGAGGTCATGAGTTTGATCCCTGGTACAAACAAAGGAACAAAAATCTCAAAGCAGTAAGAGTTTTGTTTTTCTGCCCTAAGGTACCTCTCAGAGAAACAATCTTTCTGTCAAGAGCTCCCTAAAATGGTCTGTGTAGCCCGATTGCCCTTGTTGACAAGCTGTGGCAGGTAATAAGCAGACTAGTTAGTACCACTCATGAGCAGAGACAAAGAGCATGTGTTTGACCCTAAAGGGGCCCGATTATATTGCACAGACCCTGAGAGAACTGCGGAAGACCTGCAGGATAGCAAGTGGGGAACCTGATGTCTGAGTTTGACCACTGGCCAATAATCAGAGGCCAGATAAACCGGAGCAGACAAGACCGAAAAAAGCAACCCTCAGAGACACAAACTCCAGCCTGGAGAATGGGTCCTTGGAAGGATTTGAGATGAAGGACAAAGGAACGGTAACTGCAGAGCTCTTAGCAACTCTGAAGCCCCTGGGGCGAGCTCCTGTGTGGCCTGGCAAGGTTGTCCCATAGACTGACAGGAGGCCCCATGATCCCTGCTCCTGGGAGTGAGTCACATTCAAGACAATTCCCCTCTTCCTGGAGGTGAAGAGGGACCTGTGATTTGTTCCTCTCAGGGAAACCCAACAAAGGTGACACAACATATGCCATCCTATTTACATGGTCACTTAGTAGTGCCCACTCACCTTGTTAAGTCTCTCTTGAGTGCTGGTTTTTATTTTGGTGGGGGTGGGGTGGGGTGGGGGCTTTTTTGTGGGACTGAGCATTGAACTCAGGGCCCTCATGCTGAGCTGCCTCCTGCGTGCCTCCCCGCTGCCCTTTAAAATTTGAGATAGGGCTTTGTCAAGTTGCCCAGGGTTGGTTGAACCAGTCCTCCTGCCTCTGAGTTCTGGGATTCCGGCCATCAGCCACCATGTCCAGCTTCAGTGGTGGTTTTACGTACACGTGAGGTTCGGATCCACACTGACAGACAAGCGCCACATCAGGATTTTATACACACGAAAGCAAACTTATTATAAAAGCAGCAGATATGAATGAGCACAGTCCAACAGTGCTCACCACACAACACGGCTGGCAGACAGTGTCAAAGACAGAGAAGGAGCTTGTAGAGGGGCAGCCTTCCACAGGGGGAGAAAACATCAACATCGCCTCCAGTTTGTTATAAACACTGTGTGTGTTCAGACAAAAGTGGCTTGGTGCCCACACGCCTGCATGTCTCACCGAAGCATCCTGGGTCTGGCTGAAACCAAGGACGTTTACATAGTGCGCTCAAGGCTAGCTGTACAGAACACTTCTCTCCCAGGGGAAACAGCCAGTGTCTCTGTAGAAAGGCAGTGGCCAAGGTCACTGCAGCCAATACTGCACCGACGCTCACCACTTAACCCTCCCCCTGATAGATGTGTCTGATTTAATGAGCTGCATCTTTGATCATCTGTTTTCCAGCAACAGAAAAAAGAATATCAGGCAGGGTGATACATAGCTATAATCCCAGCATTGAAGAGGCTGAAGCAGGAGGAGCACCATGAATTCAAAGACAGGCTAGATTTTGTATAGGAAGACTCAGTCTCAAAACAATAAAGACAATAAATGCACCAGGGTGTACCCATATTCTCTTATGGCTTTTTTCTTTTTATGGTTAACTTCATTTCTAGATGTTCAACCTAACATTTAGATCCTTCTTCTAGCAGTGGGCTGTAGAGATTAAAATTATTTACCCATATTTTGTTAGCAATGTGCTTTCCACACACAATATTAGTATCAGCACATTAAGAGATGGTGCAAAATTAGCAGAAACTGCTTTTAGACATCAGCCACACTGGAGGAACACATTATGGTGTTACACAGGTCCCTCCCCAAGCAGGCTGAGCTCATACAAGTTAGTGTCCTTTTGTTACCAGGCTTGGGGCTGGGAATGCCTTCTAGAGGTGTTGTCTAGGTTCTTTTTATCTTGAACAAGGTAGCAAGGTGCTGTATTTACTGAAGGTGGGAAAAGAAACATGCTCTGCTGAGCAGCCATGGCCCAACTAAAAGTTGGAAAAGAATTCACTAGGTGGGTTACAATGACCCCGTGGGAAAGCACAGTGGCCGCCATCTTTTGTATCCCACCCTTTTGGGGCTGACGTCGGGTCGAGGCTGTCCTATCGAACACCTGCTTACTTGTGAGAACTGAAGACAGTGCCTTCTGCGCATGTGTCCTGGAACAGTGACTGACATTTGCTCACTAGTTTGCCACGCCCTCACCTCCTGCTTCTTACCACCTCCAGGCTACGCACTCACTAGACAGTCTGCGCTTGCTGGATTAATGCTATCATTTACCTTTTTAGCTGGGTGATACAATTTCTTTCATGCACAGGCCTGAGCCGTATTTTAGGTGGCGCTTCTGCCCTAACGTGACACCCCAAAACATCAAGTCTCAGGATACTGGGACAATCGACAAGGAGTGCGCCAGTGCTGGTGCTGAGGGGAACTGTGTAGGAGGCAAAGGACAAGTAGGAGCAGGACGCAGGGCTCCGCTCCTCACTGACAGCATCAGCACTCAGCAGCCGCAGGCCTCCCCCAGAGACTCGCTCCCCATTTTTCTCCCCGTAGGCATGGGCATCTGGAACAGAGGAAATAAAACTCATTCTCCCCAACAGATTTCCGAATTTTCTTTTACATAGCAAGCTCAACGGTTGAGATTTGAGCTCAAAACCCATTTTGAGTTCAAAACAGAATGACAATCTGGTTTTAAGTAACTTGAAAATGCTTGTTTCACACCCTTGTTCAGTGAGGAAAAAAAATTTACAGAGCTGAGTGTGTTTTGCCCAGGCAGCAGGCAATAATGAACTGTAGGCCAAATCAGATTCACATTTAGAAAATAAATGTTATTTCTGTGTTAAGATTAGGGAAGACGGGAAGTTGTGTCCAAGTCTGTATTTGCAGACACCAAGGAGCAGAGATCTGGCCGCAGAGAACCGACTGTGAGCTCCCCAAGGGGCTGCGTTCGCCAGCCTCGCGTTTCCCCAACACAGCTCAGAGGTCCAGGGGCCGATGGGGTCAGATGGGGTCTGGTCCAGGGACTGCTGGCCTGGTGGCAGGTGCTGGTCAGTGGCTTCGGCCCTGGGAAGGCTGGGAGCTCAGTGGCTCCCTCACAGCTCTGGCTTGGGGCCTCACTGCCTGCCCTCAGGCTGTGGAGCCACCTCCCAGCACAGGGGTCTCACCAGGTGTGGATGTCCCAGCAGCGTGGGCTTTTCATTGTCCCAAACTGGGAACCGAAATAACCCCTTTTCCTTATAAAGTATGCAAGCTGAGGTGTTTTACTACAGCAATACAAAATGGACTAAAACCTACTCAAAATTTGTGGAATTCCCTTAAATGAGAAAACAACTTGTAGGAAAAGTTGCTGACAATTGCTAAGGATCAGTAGACCTAAATCTAGATGTTCAAACAATGCCATCCTTACCTATTCGGAGTTACACTTAGAGGAAAAGAAGAAAACACTAAAGCAATAACATCAAAACTCCAAGTCTATATAGTTAGGAAGGCTCATGGTAGGTTTAGTCAGTAAAAATGACTGACATTGAAAATATATTTTATTTTTAATTCTTTTTTTTTAGGTATCAGGGATTGAAGTCATGAGCTTGTGCTTGCCAGCCTGGCACTTATGCCACTGAGCTAAATCCCTGACCCTAAAATATATTTTATTGAAAAAATTTTCTCATCAACTTTCTTTTTTGAGATAGGATTTCACTGTGTAATGTAGGCTGGCCTCAAACTCATGGTGAGCCTCCTGCCTCAGCCTCCTGAATGCTGGGATTACAGGCGTGTACCACCACACCCAGCTTCTCATCAATTTTAATAAACATAATTTGCATATTTTTTAAATATGATGCTCTGAGGCATCAGGACTTGTTTCCTGCTCCACAGAGGGTTTTTGGTATTTTTGAGTCAAGGTCTTACTCTGTAATTTACACTGGCCTTGAACTATGTAGCCTGGGGCTGGCCTTCAGCTTGCAAGGCTCCTCCTGCCTCAGCCCCCTGAGTGCTGGTGTTACAGGTGTCCATGGGCTTCAGATGCCACTGTACCACCAATTCCCCAGTGCTCTTGAGGCATGTGTTAGCCATGTTCTCTTCTGTGGGAAGTCCTTGCGGCAGCTTCAGGGGCTGGATTCTGCGACATAAGAAAAGGTGTTTTAGAATTATGCTAAGGAACATATTTTATTTTCTCCAAACTGGTGAAATAATGAGCAACAAACCTTATCAGATGCTTAACCACTTTCAGTTTTGCATTTACTGAAGGGATATTCTTGTGAACCTGAGGAGTGTGGGCCTAAGAGCAAAGGAAACAGAGCCATGGGGTCAGGTTAGGATGCACTAGGGTCTATGGGAAGCGCTAAATGGAGGCTTTTTCTGCCTCAATCGAACTTAGGATTACACATATGTCCATTAAGCAGTACACTTAAACATAGTAAATATTTACCTCAAAATTTAAACAGTAGAAAATTAAAGTGAATTTAAACAACACTAAAATGGACTAAAGTAGTTGCATACTTTTTCTAATCCAAGCATCTTTATTGTATCTTTTTCCCAATACGGACGTCTTTTTGTACTTTTTATTCTGGTAACAATGTGCAGTTTGTGAGGGTGCTGTGGGTCCCCACCGTATTTTTCATGATCTTCAGGCGAAGGCTGAAACACCTTAGAAGGGAAGAATTAGAAATAATGCATTTTCAATTTTCACACAGTTTCAAAGCATCTCATTTTTTTCTCATGTGTGTGCACACACACACACACACACAAAATTATTTCATTCCTCATCTTTATGTAACTCCCAACCTCCAACCAAACACTTCTGCCACAGTACTCTGATTACTCAGATAAACAGCTTTAAAGTTTTATACTCTAAGAGAAATATCACACAGCCAAGGATTTTGCCTGAACACAGCAGAAGCAACCAGACGACACTCCAGGAGAGTGTGTAAGCACTGTAGGTGGAGCACCCTCCAGGTGAAAGCACAAAGTCCAGCACCTGCAGGCTTTCAGATTGGGGGGCTCAGGTGTTAAAAGTTAAATATTCTAAAATCTGAAAAACTCAAAATCTGAAATTAAGGGTTAAGGGTTAAGATTTTTTGCTACAACATAAACATGAAGAGGAAGAAAGGCAGAAAGGCAGGCATGGAAAGAAGGAGAGACAGAGAAGGAGGGAAGGAAGAATTCTGACCCCTCAAAAGCTCAGCCTTTGCAAAACTAAACACAGTCTTTACCCTACAGTTCAGCTTCTGGTGAGCTGAAAACATCTACACAAAGACTTCCAGACAAGTACTTGTACAACTTCATTACTGCCCCTCACTGAAAGCATTTGAGGTGCGTTGGTAGGTGAAGGCACAGATAAACTATATAAATCTATACCATGGCATACTATTCACCAATCGGAATAAGGAAGCTATTAAATTATGAAAAGATATAACAGAACTTTGAGTGAACACTGCACTAAGAGAAATCAGTGTGAGAAGATACACTGTATGACTGCAACTATGTGACATGTTGGATAAGGTCACACTACAGAATACTACATGGAGGCTGGAGGGAGTTAGGGTAGCTCGCAGGTGACAGTTTGGCGGTGCAACTGTTCTGCAATACTCTGTGATATAAATGCATGATGCTACGCATTTGTCACAATCCGCAAACTACACAACACAGAGAGAGAACCCTCCACAATCTGTGGCCTTTAATAATAACGAGTCACTGCTGTTTCAACAACGGGAACAACTGTACCACACCAGCACAAGAAGTCAGTACTAGTAAAGTTGTATGGTGAGAGAAGAGAATACATTGGAAGTCTCCATTCTTTCTGACTGATTTTTCTGTGAACCTAAACTACTTGATGAAAAACCAAAGTCAATACGGGGGTCCCTGTATGTGCGCTAAAAGGAGGACAGGGATACACAAACCTACCAGAAAAGGCGAGGGAGTCAAGCAGCAGTGGGGGATTCAGAAAAGGAAGGCTCACGCGAGTGAGCTGGGACTGGAAGGCCTGCGGTTTTCCCGTGATGATGGTGATATAAAAACACACATGGGGAAACCACAGCAGGAACGGACAGACTCGGAAATAACAGAAACCCAGTCCGTGCAGGCCAGAGGAACAGGTTACAGAATACACCCTGCTTTTCAGTATCATTGTTTCCATGAATCCTACCACCATCCAGTGTAATTTAATATAAAAAGCCTTCGATTCTACAAAGTGGGTACCTTCTCAGACACATTTTTTTTATTTTTTTAAAGAAACAGAAACAAAAAAATTCTTACTTTATCTGGAATTCTTGACTTGGTAAATTTGTGACGAATCCAATTTGTACCCATGAGACAGTCCACACCTTTTGTCACTGTCTAAAATGGAACATAAAAAAAGAATGTTTCAGAATCTTGTCCAATGCAGAGCTCCATACCCAGCAATCTTTATTGTCAAGAGTCTGCTCTGAACTAACCTACAGTTGTTAAAAGCTTATCTCAGCTCCCAGACTGAATGAATAGCTCCTTTTTCCACTAACATAGTATAAAGATAAAAAGGTACATAAACATACAAACCAGGAGAAGGTAACCATTTTCTGTAAAAGAGCAGATAGTAAACATGTCCAGCTTTGAGCTGGACATCTCTACTGCTCAGACTTGACTCTGTCATTGTAGAGTGAAAGAACTCAGGCACAATTTTCAAACAAATGAATGTGGCTGTTTCAATAAAACATAAATAAATGAAAATAAGTGGCAAGCTGGATTTGGCCTGGAAACCGTGGTGTACCAACTTTTGCTGTAGAACATGTATAATACTTCACCTTCAGTAAAACAATGTAAAAGAAATCTAAAGTGGGTTTCCCTTCTAGTGCTAACAGTGCCTCACTCCTACTTCCTGCTCTACATTCCTCCAATCCTGTGTTTCCTAGGCTGCCTGGAGGGCCGTGCTGGGAGGAATGCCCGTTCGGCCCAAGAAAGTGCTGTGGAGGGCCACTGTTCTTTTGCCCTCAGTCTTCTGTGTGTGGTGAGGCTGGGTGAGAAGGGGAAATATGTTCTTCCATACACTGGGAACACTGGGCCTACACTGGTTCTGCTGCTCAGGCTGTGCAACAGGACACATGTAGCCTCTCGGAGGTCAGTTTCCTCAGTACTGAAATGAATAAGACTGATTTCCTGGGATCTATGCAAAGTTAAGATACTATGTCTGGGGCCGGGGATATAGCTCAGCAGCACAGTGCCTACCTGGCCAGCATAAGGTCCTGAGTTAGATTCCCAATATCAAAGAAAAAGAAAAAGATAATATATACACATTGTACCACTGACAGCCACCAGCAGGTCTGTGTAAGACCTTGTCTATAGCTAGGTATCAAGCCTGGTCTTTAAGGGTAGGTTGGGTTAGTGCACTGTTGCACAGTCTAAACAAAGAACAGAAGTAAACAGGTTAAAAATCTACCATCAGTGGTCTCTGGGAGAGTCTCTTCTTTGTTTTTCTGTACTTTTCTAGTTTTCTGTGATACAAATGTGCAATTTTCAGCTGGGCATGGTACCATTCACTTGAAATTCCAGCACTCAGAGGCTGAAGCAGGAGGATCAAAACCAGACTGTGAGTTCAAAACCACACTGGGCTACATATTGAGCTTAAGGGCAGCCTGAACTACATAGCAAGGTCCTGTCTCAAAAAAACAAAACAAAAACACGATTTCTGTAACTGATGAGAAAAAGTCCTAAAACTTTTACAATTAAGGCACATCTAGGGAAATCAACAGTAGGCATTTTTTACTGACATGTTCTACAGAAAAGAGGTTTTTTTTTTTTTTTTTTTTTTTTGGTACTAGGGATTGAACTTACAACCTCACGCTTGCCAGGCAGGTGCTTATACCACTGAGCTAAATCCTCAGCAGGAAAAAGGCTTCTTGATCCCATTTTTTTTTGGAGACACAGGCTGGTCTTTAATTTGTGGGTCCAACTGATGTTCACACCTTGGCCTCCCAAGTGGCTGGGGTGTGTGCTACCATGCCCACAATTCCAAATCATCAGGGGTGCAATAGCAGCTCATCCATAAATAAACAAAATGAATCCCTGCATTAAAATATATATATAAGGAAAAGAATCTGAAAAAGAATTTGCCTTATGTTTTGTAATTAGAGAAAAAAACCATCAAAATATAGAATTCTCGAAAAACACTCACCTGTCGCCTTCCCAGCAGCCCCTGAACCACGGAGCGCAAAATCCCTGCCATAGTGTAGTAATTATTTGTCTGCAGAGGCTGGAAGAAGCAGAGAACAGATCCGATGATGCAGTGTTCCGAAATGGACAGGCAGGTACTTGCGCAGCTCTAGTGCTGCAAAGTGAAACAGCAAGTTAATTGCAAACCCAGTTGATGTTTAACAATAAAATCTTGAAAACTGGGGCTGATGGCACAGGCCTATAATGTCAACATTCTAGGAGGCTGAGGCAGGAGCATCGAAGGTTTGTGCCCAGTCTGGGCAACTCAGTGACCCAGTGAGACTCTGTCTCAAAATAAAAGATTTTAAAATGATGTAGAGGTAGCTCACCATGAAAGATGTGCATTCAGTCCCCAGTACTACAAACAAACAAATCTGGATGATTTCAATAAAGGCAATGTTTTCTCTTTTTCCAATGGTAGGGACTGAACCCAGGACCTCTATAATCTGCTACACCCCCAGGCTGTTTTTTTTTTTTTTTTTTTTTTTTAGACAGGTTCTCATTAAGTTGCCCAGGCTGATCTCAAACTGTGATCCTCCTGCTTCAGCCTTCTGCAGTGAAAACACAGGTAAAAAACAGGTTTTAAAAAACAAAGCATTAGCCACATACTATTTTCTTCCAATGAATTAGAGCTTAGGTTGATTCCATAAAACTGAGAAATGGGAGTTTACTATTATTTTAAACATGTTTAACAATGTCAAAAGATAAAGAATGACTTCTCACAGACACAGAAAAATAAAGCTAGATATAACTGAAGAAACAGAACTGACTACACTCTTACTTCTTGCATGAGAAAAATGTGCCCTAGAAAATTTGCTCACTTTTCCAGCGTCCTCCAGCCAGCAAGGGAGCAGGGGCTTTGGAACCCAATTCTCCTAATTCTTAGAGTGGTGCATTTTACTAAACCACAACGGTTTTCAGTCTAAAAAGAAAAATCCTTTTAAATTTGCATCTTTAACTCCTCTAAACAATATGCAGGTGCACTCTGCTAGACACAAAGTAACGGCAGCCTACTAGACTGATATGTACCGAAAGCAGAACGATTAGGGCTCACATATCATGTCTAACTTGGACTGGTTATTTAATCCACAGATTTCAATATTTTCCCCTAGAAAAGAAAGAAAACAATACTTACCTTGCTGATGCGTTACATAACAATTGATGATGGCTTTGAGCTCACAGCAATCCCACCTCAGCCTCTCAAGTGCTGGGATTGCAGGTGTGCACCACCATGCCTAGCTGAGTCAATTTAATGCTAAATTATTTTACAATACTTTTTCTTTGCAAGATAAGCATTATAAACTAACCCAACACATTCGGCTTCATGCATTGTTAAGTCTTTCTGTTATCACTTAGATTTCAATAAAATCTTGCCTTCCATTCCAAAGGAATGTCTTCTTCCCATAACAGAAACAAGTCAATTCATTATATATCATTCATAATCCCAGCATATGGATGGCTGAGGCAGGATTGCCATGAGTTCAAGGCCAGCCTGGGCTACACAGTGAGTTCAAATCTGAGCTATACAGCAAGACTCTGTCTCAAAACAAAACAAAAAACACATTCATCTCTTTGTTCGAAGCAGAGCTAGGCTTCTCACTGCTAAATTCAGAACTCACATTAGGTCAATGTAGGAACCATGGGTGTGGAAAATCTTCCAGAAATGCATGTACACAAGGGTCAGCTGTGTCAGCTGAGGACCTAAAATCAACAGTATCTAGTCCTATACTCAGCAAGGAACACACTCAGTACCCAGACCTTGCTTTCTGATAGCCTTCTCAAATGAAAGGAGACACTGAAAGTGTCTGAGCCTCTAGTAGTGTCTGAGAGTGACCACTAAAGAGCAGCACGACGGGACTATGTGGAAGGTAGCAGGGGCCAACTGAGAGAACGCCCAATAGTCAGAAAACGTTAAGAAAAAGTTAATGAAGTACTGGCTTACAACCAACACACAGTCCTAAATCCACACTGACTTAAATAAATGGATGAGAAAAGAAACAAATCTGTACAGAACTGTTCGTAATTTATGTAGATACTCTCCCCTCAAGGCAGTGGCGCAAAACTACACATCCCTTTAGCTAGGATTAATGACTTGTTCCCAAAGAGTACAGTACAGTACAGACCAAGGAAAAAACAAGCCAGGTGTGAGGCCACAAACTGTAACCCCAGCACTCGGGAGGCTGAGGCAGGATTGCCATGAGTGCAAGGCCAGCTTGAGCTACATAGCAAGACCCTATCTAAAAAAGGGGTGGGGGCGGTTTTACATAGGAAAAATGGGAAAAACACAACTTTGCCCAGGTGATCAAGGTAGACATCAACAATGACAAAAATCAAGCTGATAGTATGGACACATGATAGAAGAATGGCATTTTATCTCTGGTATTTTTGTCCCTAAACCCCTAATTCCACTGTAAAAGCAAACCTCCAGTGAGGGCCATTGTCCAAATTCTTGACTAATTTCTCCTTAAATATCTAATTGCCTCAAAACTGTCATAAAAAGTAAGGAAAGACTGGAAAACTAGGTATGAGGAATAGGAGAAAATATGATCATAAAATGTAATGTGGCTTCCTAGCAAAAACTAAGGGAATATGAAAGATTAAGTATGGACTTCAGTCAATAATGTATCAATCCTGGTTCATCCATTCTAATATCGGTATCACCCTAATAGATGATTACACCCATTCCTTTGCACACCATTTGCCAAACTTTCCCCCTCTACCTGGTCTCCCCATCCTGGAAATCTAGGCCTTCACCACTAGACAAGCTGATCCCTTGTTTGGCCTGAAACTAGCCAAGCAGCAGCTCCCTTTAATTGATCAAACAATCTTGACATGACTGATTAATGGCTTTCAATTTTTGTCTCAAACCTCATCTTAAAGAGGCCTACTCTAATTATATTATTTAACATTCTGACATGCAATTGTTAGCACTTCCAACCTATTACTCTATTTTTTTTCCAACAGCACTTACCATAACATAACTTGAGTTTGTCGCCACTTAACACATGCCAATTTCATGGCAAAAGGTTTTAAACATTTATTTGTTTTGACCTGGTATATTACAGATGTACCCTATCTTCCTAAAGCTTCACCTTAGCCATAGCAGGTACTCACTGTATTCTTGCTGAATGAGTTTAATTTACAGGTATCAGAAGTTGTGACAACGCAGTTTTTTGTTTTGTGGCCTGGAAGATTGAACCTGGGCCTCGTACCTATCAGTTAAACCATCACTGTGCTACATCCTCAGCCCAAAAATTTGTGTTAGTGAAGTGGAACTTTGAGTCTGAAAGGCTGTCAAACCATTAACATATCCCTGTATGGTAGGCTGTAAGGGTGATTTTATATCTGCTGTCTTTTCTTTTCTTTTTATTTTGCAGGGGCCATGCATGTAAAGGTTCTTATAAAAAGCGATTTCTTCTCCTAAAGAGATATACATGAGGGAGAAAAAGCACTACACAAATGCAGAACATAAAATTACCCTTGCAAAAACAAACAAACAAAAAACCCCCGAGATTTGTGAAGTCAAAAAATGTGTCTCTTTCCGCTGACTCCCGGTGTCTAAAAGGGAATAGACAGTGCTACAATTACCTCTTTCACCAAAAAACAGAAGCAGCTTTGGGTAGGTGGTGATCAAGACATGCTTGCAAATACCAATTTTTAATAAACGGCAAACACTGCCAGATTCTGAAAGTTTCATTCTGAAAGGTATCAATTTTAAGATAGGACAATTCTGCTTCATTTTAAACTATCAATTTACACTGATTCCCCGTGGAAGCCCTTTCTTATGACTAAAGCAGAAACACAGACACTGCTTACAAAGCTCACGTGAATTCCCACCCCCAAGCTGTCCAGCACCTGTGACTCCGTCTAGAGCTCCAAGAAAGCGGCCCAGGAGTCCTGGAAAAGGTCGCCGGATCTGTCGATGACTTTCCAGGAGTCAGAGATGGAACTCAGATGAGGACCTATTTTAGCTAGTTGTGATGCGCCAACTCGGAAGAGCAACAGGGGAAATCTACCAGCCTAGAGCAGAGGGAAAACAGACACGCAGTCTCTGGAGGTAAAATGCTTCACTTTCAGCGACTCACGCCACTCACCAGCACCCGCTAAATGTCCAGCCTGCACTTCCGCACAAAGCGGAAGCCGAGAAGAGGAAGGACCAGTAAGCACTACATTCAAACCCTGCCGTGTCAACACGACGACCTTTTCGTTCCGAGAAGGGCCCTTTAGTTCCAGCTTCAGCTCCTCCCACTCAAGCATTGGGGGAGGAGAGCGCAGGCGCAAATGTGCCACGTGACCGTTTCTGGGAAGTGCGGTAAGCGGGGTCTGCTTTAGCCCTGGCCGAGGTGGAGCGGAGTTGTGGCAAACATGGCAAAGTCCCAAATAGGGCAGGATCCTGACAGCAGAGCTGCAATCACTGTCCTGAGCCGGGCGGTGGAACTGGATTCGGAGTCCCGGTACCAGCAGGCCCTAGTGTGTTACCAAGAGGGGATTGATCTGCTCCTGCAGGTTCGGAAAGGTGAGCGTGAGCCGTCGGGGGGGGGGGGGGGAAGACCAGAGGAAAAGGAGTGGTTTCCCCTGTTTACAGGGTGCAGCAAACAAAATGATTCTTCCATACCGCCAGGAAGCGGTCACATCCGAGGGTGGGATACTTTACAGGACAGCTGGGCTGGTTTCTAAGTATCTGGAATAGACTGATGACATTATGAAAGGGCAGAGCCTATTTAGAGATTTTTTTAAAAAGCTGAATAGACTTCACAACATTCAGTTTGTAAGCTTTGATAGTTAAGACGTTGTTGGAAAGTCTGAATATAGAGTAATGATAAAATTATGAATAGGCAATTTTCCCCGAAAAACTATTCTTAGTTTTTAGAAATGCAGACTGTTTTTGGAGCGAAATATTGTGATGCTTGTAATATAATTTTACTTAAGCACCTTCCCCCTCCAAAGTAAAATCCCAAACTAAAAAAAACAAAGTTGAAAAAAAACCCAAAAAGTTAAGACTGGGTACATATACATAATTCAATGATAAGAGTGCTTGTCTAATATGCTCGAGGCCCTAGATTATCTAGATTTATACCCTTAAGAAGCAAAAACAAACATATGACCTTGTTTCATTCGTAAAATTTTTCTATAAAGCAGGAGTTGATGGTATTCTGAGTTTATAATGTAGAAAGGCAAGTCTTTTTTTTTTTTTTTTTTTTTTTTTTTGAGACAGGGTCTCTATATGCAGTTCAGGCAGGCCTTGAGCTCACTTTGTAGCCCAAGCTGGTCTTGAACTCTCAAGGATCCTCCTGCCTCAGCCTCCGGAGTGCTGGAATTATAGGACAGTTCGCTTTCAAGTGCTGCTGCTGGCAGGTGATCAGGCCACAGCTGGAACGAAAGGCCTCAATAACTGGTATATCAAGTCCCCCAATACAGCCCGGGAGGTGTCAGTCAGGTGCAGCAGTCCCATAAGGGATCATAAGCAGGAGAATCACAAGTCCCAGAAAGGTTATAGACAAGTTATGACCCAAAATGCAATTAATTCTGATACCACGAATAAGCATCAGGAGACGCAAGTGAAAAGCAGATTTAAACAAGAAAAGGTCAAATGAGGGGGAAAAGGTAGGGGTGATGTCTGATAGAAGCTTTGGAGTAAAAAGTAGAACTTTAGAAATCAAAAATAAAAAGGCTTAGTGGGTATATGCTGCCCTGCTCCTGCTTTGTACCTCTGACCTCGATACCCAGGGCAGCTACCCCACCTCTGCGGGAGGAGGACATTGGTGACTACCATGACATGAATGTGACACATTTCCCTAGGACAGTGGGACAAAGATGATGACACAGGAAGAAGCGATCAGAACACCAGAAGAGGCCCTCAGTACCTTTTGGCTTCTCAAAGGCAGACCCAGATATGCCCAAGAGCATCCTGAAGTGACAAAGAAAAGGAAGATGTTTGTCACTACATGGGGGAGCCCCACAGAGAAGGAGATAAGAAATCAGGAGCCTGTGGCAGGGCAGCCAACTCAGTGCCAGCTATGATGGGCAGATATTGTGGGATCAGACGAGGCTATATTCCTGCTTTGGGTGGAGCTATACGTGAGATAAAGGACTTTTTGGTCAGTCAAGACAGGAGTGCTGATGTCACTCTGGAGGGACAGGTGTGCCTGGCAAAGGAGGAAGAGAGAAGGAGAAAAAGCAAGAGAAAGGCAAAAGAAGGAAGAAAGGAGATCTGAAATCATGGTCCTCGAAGGAAGACAGCTGAGCTGGAGATCAGCAAGAAGGCCTGTGAGTGGGCAGTGTGTCTCGTGTGGAGTGGCCAGGCCATTAGAGCTCCTTGCTGGTCTCTTGTCAGTGCAGGTCCTGGAAACTGCGGACCAGGGGACATACTCATTTCTTCTGCCACAAGACCAATCTGGTCAGTGCAAAAATTACTATTGTAAAGCTTCATGAAGACAGGTTTTGTGGTTTTTAGCAGACACTAATGAATTCATGCTTACTAACAGCATTACCTTCCATGGAAAGCTGTGTTGCTTTTTCTTGTTTAAATTAACCTGTGGGTCACTGACTTCCAAGGTGTCACAGTGCTTCACCTCCCCTGCTCTGGTGGCCTGCTGTGTCCATGAGTTTGATTTTCTGTTTACCAAAAAGCAGGTTCTGATCAGACCAGCCTTTAAAACTCCTGGCTTTGAGTCAGACTGTCATGCCATAGCCATGGTTTTCATCACAATGAAGGTAAAGCGAATTGTCTAAATGTGTCACCAGGAAGCTAGCTGTGTAAAACCCATCTGTGCAGGAAATGCCAAAGCAATGCCATTTGGCACTCCTAAGTAGTTATTTGGGATGTCACGGACTGAAGTCTATCTCTCCAGCTGAAAGAATGGTTGCTATCAGTTCGATCATGTGGGTTCCTATATTTTTATTTTCTATTTTTTTGGTACCAGGAATTGGACTCATGATCTTGCGGCTTGCCAGGCCGATGCTGTGCCACTGAGCTAAATCCTGGCATGGTTTCCTTTTTTAGGATATAGAGAGACCATTGTAAAGTGCAAGCAGAGGCCAGCAGAGGCCTGAGCAGGCATGGCAGAGGACAACGACCTCATTTACAGTGTTTTGAAATACTATCCTTTGATAAAGTGCCTACTACACTTGTGGTGTTTTTGTGTGGTACTAACTTGTGCTGCTGTTGGTGGATGTTTGCTGTTTGTATATTGGAGCCAGCTCTGAATAAGTGGACATTTATATACAGACATGATTTTGGAATTTAAGTTCTTTGGAAAAAAAACCCTCAGTCGTGGTTTTAAAAGATTAAAAACAACACACATTCATGGTTAGAAAATGTCACTGTGAAAGAGCAGTACAAGGTGGCAGGTGTGTCCCTACTCTACTGCTGGTGCCGTGGTCCCTTATCCTTGTGAAGCCACTGTTCACACTTTGTTTCAAAAAGAAAAGAAGTTCAGCTGTGATTGTGCTCTTTTACCAAGTAAGTAGTTCGGTGTGGTTTAGTGTAGTTGATGAAGTTAGGGTTAAGGTCCTTTAGAAGTCTTTCATTTCTAAAGCCCAAATAGCAAGCAGTTAAATTGAACGGACATCCAAAAAAGATGTCAGTGAACATAAAAGAGAAACTCATACTTTGTGGAAAATTTAAAAGCACAGCAAGGGTGAAGAAAGTGGATCTTGGGTTTCATTTTGGCAGGAAAGGGACGAAAAAAGAACATGCTTAAGGGCAGTAGCAAAGTTAGCAGCAGAGGTTACTAACATGTGGCTCCAAAGGGGCTCGGCTGAGGTGTGTGGGAAGAATTCTGTGCTCTTTTATAGCCATTCTGTAAGGTACTATTACTGTTTCCATGTTGAATCTGAAGATACAAAGAGGCTGAATAATTGGCCAGAATCACTGAGCTAACAGTGGAGAAGCAGGTTTTAAAAGAAGCAGTCTGACTCTAGGCCCTTGGTTGTTAACCACTGTTCAGCCTGAACCTTTTGTAAAGAGTTTGGCATGCTGCAAACCTTTCTCACCTTACCAGACTCAGGGCCCCAGGGATGGCACAGCATCAGCACCCCCATTCCTGAACAGAGCTGCTTCATATGCTTAGTTTAGAAATGACTGCCCTGTATCAGCAAAATGTGAGCTTGGCACCTGTGTATCTTAGGACTGAGGCAAAGCATGCTAGAAACATAGCAAATTTGTGGGAAATTGGAAACAATGCTTGAACTAAATAGAAAAACTATTTTGAAACTTGAGAATATGATTGTTTTTAAATTTATAGGTACTCAAGACCATAGTAAGAGATGTTATCTCAGAGAAAAAATTACTTGCTACATGGATAGAGCAGAAGACATAAAGAAATACTTGGATCAAGTAAAAGAAGGTAAAAAAAAAAGCTGTTTTAAAAATCATGTCCAAGATGGGCATGGTGGTGCACTCCTGCACTCGGGAGGCTGAGGCAGGAGGATTGTTGCAAGTTCAGGACCAGCCTGGGCTACAAAGTGAGCCCAAGGCCAGCCTGAACTGAATAGTGAGACCCTGTCTCAAAAAGACAAAAAAGAAAGAAAAAGTCATATCCAAGGGGACTGGGGATGTGACTCCATGGTAGAGCATTTACCTAACATGTTTGAGGCCCTGGGTTCGATTCCCAGCACCAAAAAAAAGAAAGAAAGAGAAAACATATCTGTAAGCTGCTGTGATTCCATCCACTCACCACGTATTTGTGGCTTCCTGTAGAGCTCTGTGTAGTCTGAGGTATTTGTGCCTGGGGCTTACTCTGCATTTTTTTCTCCCTCTATACAAGTTATTCACTTTTTCTTTGTTAGGGGGTAGGGTCAGACACCCTTTGAGCAGCCCAGGAAAGCTCTACACCCTGCAGGACTTCGTCATTTTTAAAGAATTTATGGATCCCCAGAGGCTTGGTGCACCCAGTTGAAGAGCTGCTACAGAGGAAGGCTGAATGTGGATCCCGTATTTTTTGTGTACTTCCCTTTATGAAAGGACTAAAAATCTTAAAGTAGCTAAAGAAACTCCCAGGACATCTCTCAGATACTATTGCGAATCAGAGCACTCTAAGAGTTAAGTATTCCTGATGGCCAAAGGTCAGGTAGGTATGTGTTGTTCCCTGTGTATCATTAGCTTCCCATTCATAAGTGTCCAGGCTATGAAAGTCTGGGGCATTGCTACCTTCCTTACAGTGTACAGCCTTGTTGCTTTCTGAGGCCAAAGGTACTGCCAACCACATCTACTGGTCTCCAGTTCTCAGCAGTTCTTCCTGTCTGTCCTTACTATGTCCCAGTGTGTTTTCTCAGTGTTTTAGACAATCTCATAATGACTTTGGATCGCACAGCACAAACCCCTTAAAGTCAGCCTGGGCACATCCCACACAGATTTTGATGCTTTCCTAACCTTCTTGATAGAAAAAACAAAGTATTGTGTTACCAAGGTTTTGGGATAGCCTAGTTTTTAAGACCGTATATTACAGGAAAGCCTACTATCAAATGCTAGACCATCTTGAGTGCCTTCAGTGGGCCAGGGAAAAGCTCAGTGGCATAAGCACCTGCCTGGCAAGCATGAGGTTGTGAATTTAATCCTGGGTACAAAAAAAAAGGAAAAAAAAAGTAAGAACAGTTTGAGTGCCTTCAAATGCTGTCCGGGAAGAGGAACCAGACCACTGGTTTTAAGTGCAGAACCATGCAAATTAGGAACTGCTGTTAGGGGTCATATATTTCTTTCAACCTTGACAGTGTCTGAAAACTTAGTAATTATTCACTTTGAATTAACGAAACCAGTGGAATTCTCTTATTGATCCTTGTGACATCCTACTCTATAACCTGGGTTATCTGTTTAAAAAAAATTACCTTATAATTGATCCTGATTAATCACTATTTAAAAAAAACAAAATGTTTTCAACAGTGATCACTGGTTATATACTGAACTTTGTGTTTTGTAGACGGGAAATACCACAAACAAATTAAGATAGAAGAGAATGCAACAGGTTTCAGTTATGAGTCACTTTTTAAAGAATACCTCAGTGGGACAGTCACAGAAGTTTGGATAGAAGATCCTTACATTAGACAAACTCATCAGGTAAGTCAGGTGTACTAAAATACAATGAAATCCTACTTTACATGTATAGTCAGCCTTGTGTGTGGGTCCCACATACATAGATTCAATTAAAGATGGAAAGTTTTTCTTAAAATTGTATCTATACTGAACACACACTTTTTTCTTGTTATTGTTCGCTGACACAGTGTAACAACTGTTTACCCTGCATCAGGTTTTAGAAGTAATCTAAAGATGATTTAATGAACACAGGTGTAAATACTGCAGTGTTTCTCTGGTGTGAGAAGCCAAAAGTGTAAATAAGTACCAAAATGTATAAAAGATATTGTGAAATAGGAAAAAATGTTCAAATGGAAAGGGGAACTAGGAGTGGGGAGGGGAAAAGGAAAGGAAAAGGGAAAAAATGGAAACAAAGCTTTTTATAAACAAGGAGAGAAAGAGACGTTGAAGGGAGGGTAGAAGAATGAGAAAAAGAATTAGGTTATATCATGTAGAGGTACAAATTCCCTATGATGAATGCAATCATTATGGATATCTAAACTGTTCCAAAAAACAATTTTAAAAAAGGCAATTTAAAGTATTTGGAAGGATATGTGGAGCTATGTGCAAACACTGTACCTTTTTTTTTTTTCCCCTGGTGCTGGAGATTGAACTCACAACCCTGTGCATAGCAGGTAGGTGCTTGTACTGCTGAGCCAAAGCCCCAGCCCCTGTACCATTTTCATAAGGAACTTCAGCGTCTGTGAACTGGAGGGATGGGTCCCAGAAGCCACGGCCCTCAGTGCCAAGGGAAGACTGTACTAGTCATTCTCCATCCTCATGTCTTTCAGCTATATAATTTCCTTCGATTTTGCGAGATGCTTATTAAGAAGCCATGCAAAGTGAAAACTATTCACCTTCTCACCTGTCTGGATAAAGTAGGTATCTGAAGGAACTTACTTTTTTACTTAGCTTATTAACTTTCTTTCAGTTATGAGATGTCTGATCACAGAAATCTGTGCTTCAGCTACATCCATTTCTTTGGAGATTAATTTGTTACCTGATAATCAGCATAGCGCATCTTGAGAAAAAAGCTGTTGATTTTAGGATGGTGACTTGGATCTGAACATTTTCTTTAATTCTTATTTGCTCACGCAGTGTGTCAGTGTATTCTCTGGGATGTTCCTGTAGTGATGTAGTAATCATGCTGTCTGCACTGCTGACGATTTTGTGTCTTTACTAATTCATTCTTTTTTGTGTGTCTTTACTCATTTTTAGCAGCATGATAATAGGCTCGCTTATCTTGACCTCGATATAAACAGGGATGCCTCTGAATAAGTAGGATTTCCAGAATGATTTTAAGAAGTGGGCAGCCACCCTTGAATGACCAAGCATTATTACTAAAATACCTTTAATTAAGGAGACAGGTTAAAGTTGTGTTATGTTCATGTAAGGAAGAAACTTTTTATAAAGTCACTTGTTTTTTTTTTAAAGTACTTCACATTCTTGGGTTGCTTCTTTGAGATATGGACATTAAAAGTAGTTCAGAACTTTTAAATTTTAACCTGTCTATGACATTCATTATATAGCATAGGGATAATTCAAAATATTAGTAACTGAAGCAGAAAGTTGTATTTTTGCTATTAACAGGGGCATGCGAAAATACAGCAAAGTAGTGGCCTGGAAGAAATAAAAGAGTCCCTCAGGAATCATGGAGTGCTGTTGGAAATAAAATATTCTTCTTCAATACATGACCGAGAAATTAGGTTTGTGTATAATTTTTATGCAGTTGAACTATAGTTTTAAAATTTCCCTTAATAAGTGTTATATAATTACATACAAATACTGTTTAAACATTAAAATTCAAATAAAACTCAAAATTTTTTTTTTTTTTTTGGTCTTTTTCCTTTTTATCGGTACCAGGGATCGAACTCACGACTGCCTGCTTTCAAGGCAGGCGCTTATGCTGCTGAGCTAAATCCCCAGCTCCATAAAACTCAATTTTATTAACTTCTCACTTTTGAGGATTAATAAAAAAACCCTTAGTTTGCTTTGTCCTATGAATTTATTATTTTCAGAGGATATAAAATCTTATGTTTACCATGTAAGAAGGAGGGAGGACCTTTCTGCACACTGCATATAGTGTTATTAATTTCACTAGAAAGTGAAGTAATTCATTTTCTAGTGAAATGAACATTATGTAATGTAGTTTTATTTGCTGTGGGTAAGTAAATAGTCTGGCAGGTAGGAAAATGTGCTGAGTTGCCAGGCATAGTGGCACACACCTGCAATGCAAGCACTTAAGTGGCTAAGGCAGGAAGGCCGCCGTGAGTTCAAAGCCAGCCTGGCCTACACGGTGAGTTCAGGGCCAGCTTAAACTATATAGCAAGACCCTGTCTCAAACAAACAAACAAACAAACAGGAAACTCCCCCAGAAATATGCTGAGTTAATAAGAAAACAGTGTCTGTAGTACTTTAGAGCTATCTTCCTTTTGTTAGCATTTTTAATGAAAACTTAAGCACAAACTAAATACACAAAATAGATATGAGTTCAGTGCTGCTGTGGTTAAAGCAGAGGTCAGGGGCCAGTGTCCCTGTGCTCATGTTCCTGGGCGCTAGGAAGGGGAACCCTTGAAATACCACCACAGTCTCCATATACTCTGCAGCCACCTATTAGCACAGTAGGAAATCTTAATCCACAAACTGAAATTCAAGAGTATGTTCTGACTTAATTGTTAAGCTGTTTGCTAATCAAGTCAGCTGACTTTCTGTGTCCTTTTTGTTTCGTTAAAGACACAGTCTGTGATGAGCCTCAAGGTCTGATTGAACTCTTGCCATTGGAAGAAATGGTTTTGTTGGTGGGAAGATTTGCTGGTACCTACTACACTGTATACCTTTAATAACTGTCTCAAAGCTAATACTGTATGCTAATTTCAATAGGTTCAACAATGGATGGGTGATTAAGATCGGAAGGGGACTTGATTACTTTAAGAAACCACAGGTAGGATATCATTTTATGAAGAAGCATATAGCACCATTTAGCATCACTTTTGTTTTTGTTTCTTTGAGATGGGGGTCTTACTCTGTTGCCCAGGCTGTTCTTGAACTTCTTGGGCTCCAGAGTTATCCTCCTACCTCAGCCACTCGCGTAGGTGGGACCACTGGTACATCAGCAGGCCCTAGATTATTTTGTGTTGTTTTTAACAATACTCTTTTCTTCCTAGGGTTGTTTTTCCCTTGGATATTGTGATTTTGATTTAAGGCCATGTCATGAAACAACAGTGGACATTTTTCACAACAAACACACACAAAAAATGTGATGGTCAGCAGACTAACTCATATTATTTCTACCTTACATGCCGTCTCACCCCATTTTCTATCGCTGTAACGGAATACCACACACTGGCTACTATGAAGACTAGAGGTTGATTTAACTCACAGTTCTGGAGGCTGGGGAATCTTAAGAGTACCATGTTGGTGTCTGGTGCAGGCCTTCTTTCTCCACAGGACATGACAGACGGCATCATGGGAGAGACCGAGCTCGCCAGAGAGAGCTCACTTTTGTAACAAAGGCACCTGTGGGAAGCACAGCCAGTCATGGCTCAAATCCCACTTCCTAACACTGCTATATTGAGGACCAAGTTTCCAACACATGAACTTTTTGGAGGACACATTCAAACCACAGAAGTGAATACTGGATGATTTTTTTAAAAATTCCAACATATTTTTATAATGTACACATCTAACAATAAACTTTCTACAAATTTCTGAAGCCATTCATTTGTGGGAGCTTGCATAAATATTTCTGTAAATCTGTTATTTAGTAGCCTGGTAATGTTTCTTTTCAAAATTCAGTGATTAAGTTCACTGTGGATCTTATGGGGAAATTTGATATGGCTCTTATCCAGTTCAGTTTGTGACTAGAATTGTGGAGAGAATTATATTCATCAACCGAAGTACCACTGTAATTCTGCTGCTTAGATCTCATAAATCTACTTCTGTAGAGAACCAGAAGCCGGAACCCTGTAGATTTATCCAATTCTTAGGGAAATCCTGGCCAAGAGCAGAGAGTGTTAGATCAGCGGTACAATGTGTGCTTAGCATGTATGGGGCCCTGGGTGCAGTCCTCAGCACCCCAAGCCCCCCGCTAAAAAATCCTAAGAGAAAATGACATTTAAGGCAAAGAGTCTATACATGTTTTCCACTATTGTACGTAGATATTTGGGGTCCTCAGATCAAACTAGAATGCCAGAAGGATACCAAATGCAAGTAAAATTGTACAGAGTTATAGGAGGGAAAAAACTGGAGTGACTGGAAAGAAAAATATCCCTCAATAGAAGAATGTCAATTTTTCCTAAGTTATTAATTAGATGACAAAGGGAACTAGCACTAGGAGACTTTCTTGTCTTGCTGCAAGACATTAACTACAGCAATATTTTAAATGTACATGGGCACAGATCTGGCCAAATCAGTGCAACAGAATAAAGAACTCTGCAAAAATGTATGTATGGATACTTAATGTGTGGTAAAGGCATCATTTCAGTTCATAAAGTGGACATTCAATAAACGATTGGAAAATAATACTAGATTTCTGCCTTGCTTCAAATAAAGAATGTTTAAAGGAAAGAAATGATAAAATGGAGAATCCAGGTTTTCTATTCTAAATTCCTACTAAATGTATAAAAATAACACAAAGACCAGAAAAACTGTCCGGGAAAGGAATAGAGCAAAAGATTTGATCATATAATATTTATAACGGGCATAGGCACCAGAAACAAAACACACACTCAGATTTACAACACACAAGAAAAGGATCAATATCAGTAAGTATGCACATAAGAGGTCTACAGCAGTGACCCTGGTGTGACCTGTAGCCTCCTCCTGGAGGAATTGGTCCCCAACAGTGTCTTCTGTCCTTCTGATCATTCCTGCCACACACACATCCCCAAGTGGATGCTGCTCTAGTTTGTGTTCTTCATAAGCAAACTTTTTTTGGGGGGGATGGGGGGAGTACCAGGAATCGAACTCAGGACCTTGTGCCTGCCAGGTCTGAGCTAAATCCCTGGCCAGGAGCAAACTTCTTGAAAGAGTCCTCCCAGGACAGTTTTCTCCATTTCCTCACCACCCATTCACACTTCAGCTCCACTGGGTCACGCCACTGAAATTTGTTCAAGTGACCTCACCTCCATCTCACTTCACCTTTCAGGGTCAGACAGCGAAGGCAGGGAGGCTGGCACCGGCAATGCCAGTGATGCGGGTGTTGCTGCCACATCCAGTCTTTGCATAGGCCACTCCCTTTTCAAACCTCGACTTCGGTAAAACAGGCTTTCTCTTCCATCTTTTCAAATACATTGGGAGCTGGTGATGTGTTTCAGTGGGAGAGCATTTGCTCAGTCCCCACAGCAATCATAATAACTCTCCATCTCTTTTCTTCAACCCATACTCTCCCTAGGAAATTACACTACTACTGCTTGATATAAAAGGGTTAACAATGTAATAAATAGGTCACTCAGCATCACCACAAGAGCTACACACTGCAATGTGGAGGCTTTGGCATGGAAAATAACCAAGAACTAATCATATGCGACCCTGCCTGCCCCCGCTGCAAGGGCTGGATCTAGCCACGAAGTCACTTCCATCACTGGCACTGCCAGGGCCAGCCTCACTGCCTTTGCTCTCTGAAAGTGAGGCTTTTGATTAGAGTGGTTAGTCCTCTCAGGTTCCTCGCCTCACCGGCTTCCAATTCAAAGGCTGTGGCAGGAGCAGCTGGCTGGCTCATGTGACCATATCCCTGCTTCAGGGGAGGCTAGGAAAGTGCACCTACAACACACAGGGCAAGTTTCAGTTCCCTGTAATTCCCACCGACATTTCCCAAACTGGACACCTCATGCTACACCATTAAAACTTTAAGATGATTACAAAAGTCCAAAACTATCTACCCTCCTAATCTAAAATACTAAAACTTCTCCTCAGAGATCCAATTCAACTAAGCATACAAGCATTTCAAATATGGTATACGACAGCTGAACTCCATCCCCTCTGCTTACTCCCATCCGCCTAATTGCTTACTAAGAAATCTAGACTCCTCTCTCCTCCATCCCAACATGCAAATGCTGAAAAGTTCTGAGGAATCTACCTGTTTACATCTTGAGCCTAGCTGTTCCAGGTGTTCCTTGTTCCATTTCCTGATATTCTCTCTCCCCCGCCCAACTTTTTTTGGGTACCAGGGGTCCAACTCAGGACCTCGTGCTTGCCAGGCAGGCACTTGTGCCACTGAGCTATCAACATCAGCCTGATAGCCTCTTTCTTCAGAAAAAAATTAGTATGGCACTAAAACACCTCACATCAAGAGTTTTATATTTCTCAGAAAATAACTTTCACACATTGCAACAGGAAAATGTTTTAGGAATCTGAGAACTCTCTTCAAAACTGTTTGCACACTACTTGGTATTTAGGCTGCTAAGGACCAAAAGGAGCTTCCCATTGAACCTGCCTCAAAGAATAGCTAAGCTGCCATTCATGGAACAACTGAAAAGTGAAGTCCTCGCTCCTTATGCCACCTGTACTTGTAGATTAGGTGTAAGCAAAGCCTTGTGTCCTCATTCCTGCCCTGCTCTTCCTAGAAGGGGTGGGATCTGGTCCATTTAGATATGAAAGTAACTCACGAAAGAAGGGCTGAAATCAATGTGCTGATGATGTCCAAGTACTGTGGACTGCTGTTTCAGGTAGACAAGTCTCTAGATCCCTCAAGACCCTGAAATACCTGTTTTAGAGTGAATTATGTCCCTCCACTAAGGTTATAGGTTGGAGCCCTAACCCTTAGTATATCAAAATGTAGCTATATTTGGAGACGAGGTCTTTAAAGAGGTAACTGAGTTCAAATGGTCTTTAGAGTGGGCTGTAATCCAGTATGACTGACCCTCTTGTAAAAAGCAAAACTTTGGATGCAGATATACAAGACGAGGAAAGATCATGTGAGGACACAGGAAGTGCTTGTCCCCAAGCCAAGAAAAGTGTCTCAGTAGGAACCAAACGTGCCAGCACCTTCCTTTTGGACTTGAAGCCACCCGGTCTGTGTTACAGAATCCCTAGTAAGCTAGTACGTCTTGCTTTTGTTTCTTTTGTTAATGAGCCATGTCTTGAAAACAGGAGTCATAGCAACCCTCATGTCTGACAAGTGCCTGATTCACTGTCTGATTCTTTCCATGGCCATTCCCAATGTGATCCCTCATCTACTGCTGCAGGAGCTCCCAAGTGGGTGCTACGTCATCTTGCCTCCTACCAATCCATTTTCCACAGACCGGAGACTCATCCTTACCAAAATTGTCCTCTCGCTGCACTTAAAAGCAAGCTCAGCAATGGCCCAGCAGTCTGTGTATGACCTGGTCCCTGCCTCTCCAGCTTCATTTTGCCTGTTCCTGTATTCCTTCGTTACCATCAAGGAGCCTAGCCCTTTCCTGCTTTAGGGCTTTCCTGGATGCTCTGTCACAAATTGCATTTTCCAAAATTGGCAGCAGTGGAATCTACCATGCCAGCCCTTTACATAATGAGTCTGAGATTCCTTTCATGGAGTATGTTCCTTCTCCTTGCCTGTGGATGCACTTGTGACTACTGAAGTGATCCAATGTTACTGTCAAAGGCTGGGTCATAGGATTCGCTTTCCCCAGCTGGGACAAAATATCTGACGTACACAAAGGAGGAAAAGTTTGTCTTGACTTACAGTTGCAGAGGTTTTAGTCCATATAGTCTCTTGGCTCCAAGGCACCAAAGTCAAGGTGGGAGAGTGTGGCAGAGGAAAGCTGCTCAACTCATGGCAACCGGGAAGCAGGGAGCAGGGGAAGAGCCAGGAAGGAGCCAGGGACTCGGTAAAATTCCCCAAATCACCCCTCCAGGACCTACCCGACATACTCAGAATGGGGATCTCTCAACATCTCACAAGCCAATCAAGATAAACTGTCAGTGTTAAAAGACAATGGCCTCTTTCTTGCTCTCCCAGGCCACTCCATCTGGGAACCCAGCTGCTAGGCTGTGGTTAATCCAGGGAGTCCAAGTGGAACCCAACTGAAGTCCTGAGCCCATGGTTTCAATTTGAGCTCCGAGCTGCCTGTTACCACCAGTTTGCCAGGCACATGAGCAAGCTTATCTTGGAAGTAGGTATTTCTAGCCCAAGTAAAGTATCCTAGCTAAAGCTATCCTGAGCAAAGCCTTGTTCAGATTTATATTTGTGCTGGGCATGGTGTCACACACCTGCATCCTAGTCCTTGGGAGGCTGAGGCAGGGAGATTGCTGTGAGTTTGAGGCAAATTTAAAGCCAGCCTCAACTACATAGTGAGACCCTGTCTCAACCTCTCCCCCACCAAATTTTGTATTTGTGAATGATTGTTGTTTTAAGTCACCTCATTTTATAATGGTTTGTGGCATAGCAGTAACCAGTATCCACAGGAATACTATCCTCCCAAACCCACTCCTCTTTGCATGGATTCCTTATTCTTTAGGGCTCAGTTTAAAAGCATCTTCCAAGAGCTCTAGCCAGACAGCTCCTATTACTGCCTGGTACTACTGCCTCAGCTCTTCCCTCATAGTTTTTCTTTTTTTGGTACTGGGGATGGAACTCATGACCTTGTGCTTGCCAGGCAGGCACTTATGCTGCTGTGCTAAATCTCCAGCCCTCCTCATAGCTTTTCTCATTTTGTGATTATTTATGGATTTGTTAATTTTTTTTCATAATAAGACAGAGATTTAAAAGCTCATCTTTTTGGGCTGGGCATTTAGCTCA